AGATTCTGACCCACATCTGTCAGAACACCAGGTCCAGCTCTTGGTACCACATCACAGAATTAGACAGGAACAAAGGGCCGGATCCGGTTCTGATGGGATTATGTTGGTGGTAGAAAGAGGACATAAAACAACCTGTAGTTTATCTGCAGAGTTCAGATCCAGAAGTGTCCTGGTACTGAGCCATGTGGTGCACCACCACAAACCCAAATCCAAGCCTCTGGTTCTGGTTTCAGATGGTGCAATAATTAACCCCCATCATCATCATCATCACGAGTCTCACTCTATATCAGATAAATAAATCCACCTCATAAACGTCACCTGGTTGTTCCCTAAAGCTTACGAGATGTTCCGGTGAAGCGGAGCACAGAGCGGTAAAGTCTCAGTTTAGATTTTACCAGGTGACCTTAAACGCACCACAAAGATTCAAGTTCCATTTGAGTCCTTTTGGATCATCAGCACTCCGGATGGTCTGTGAGGGGGAAGTGAAGATCCAGCAGGACACACCTGGCAGAGAATGAGTCAGACAGCCAGCCAGTTTGTTTGTTTGTTTATGTTTATGTTTATGTATTTAGCAGATGCTTTCGTCCAAAGCGACTTACAGGTGATAACGAAGCCAGCAGGTTGCCCGTGAGGCTAACAACAAACACTATTCAGTCAACCGTAGGTGGGGTGTGCAGTAGAGAGGGGGGCGGGTGCTGGGAGGGTCCTAGTCTCTGAAGAGCTGGGTCTTCAGGAGTCTCCTGAAAATCGACAAGGAAGCCCGGTTCTAGAAGTGCTCGGTAGGTCATTCCACATCTGTGGAACAACACATGAAAAGAGTTTGTTTGTTTGTTTGTTTGTTTGCTTGTTTGTTTGTTTCTGTTCTACTAAACAAGTTTAAGAAAAAGTAATGATTTAACAAATAACTCAGATTACTTTCAGGTTGAGTCCAGTCTGAAATCCTCGGAACCAGGAGAATCGGAACCAGTGTTTTCTTTGTGACTGTCGTTGATCTGCAACAGGTTTCAGTCACATAACGTAAAGAACCTCCAACAGCGTGATGTTCTGAATCAGAGCTGCTGATGAGCGAGTCTGGATCGGCTCGGTTTTCTCCAGAATTCAGCACATCCCATCTGGACCTGAGATGTTTTATTAAAGTTCTTTTTTTTTCTGGTTTTAATGGATAGAACCCGACAGGTCCTTTACTTTTCTAGCATATCAGCAGCTCTGACTCGAATAAGTTCTTCTACTGGGTGGGACCACAGAACCAGCAGCCGCTGACAACACACTGTAACACTCATAAACCCAGTACTCATCTGCAGGTTGCTCCAGGTTCTGATTACTGTCTCATTAGAACCCAAATGGGTCAGCGCCTCAAAGGAAATTAGACATGAAGTTCTTAATGTTCGCAGGAAGTAACAAGAAAGGGTTTCAGTCCTCTGAGTTCAGCATGTTTAACGGTTGGTTCCAGAACCTGAGGAGACAAGCTCAGGGGCCAGAACACCCTCACGAACGGGTCAGCATGTTCCGCTTATAACCATGATCAGCCTCGGCTCTCAGAAGAACAGATGTTGGACCCATCCGAACCTTCAGAACAAACGGACCGACAGGAAGCAGGAAGATGTCCTTATAAGGCCTGAAGCGTTTCTGATCTGCTGATGAAAAAATCTCTGAAACGACCGCTTCTTCTGAACTTCAAAGATTTTGCAAATCAGGATTTAAAAAATCTGTTTTTCTGTTTTAGTGAAATAATCCCACAGTTTAACAGTCGGTGATGTAATCTGGACCTGATCAGAGACGGCCCAGGTTCATTCATTCACATTCTCATTTCAAGAGAGGCTCTTTTAGACGCCAAGAATGAACACATGACTAAATAAACACAATCGGACAAACATAATTCATTAGCTTTAGATCAATCAATCAATCAATCAATCAATCAATCAATCAATCAATCAATACTTTATTAATCCCAGAGGGAAATTAGAGACACTTAAACATGAAACAATTTAAAAGCACGTTTTTAAGAACGTTTCTGGAGAACCTTTAAAGAACCCAAACGGAATCAAAGTGGACTGGTTCAAATCCAGGTTCTGAGTCTCGTTCTTCGTCTTTAATAAACTCTTACAGCCGGACAAACAGACCGGACCGTCCCACCAGAACCAGGTCTCTGGTTCTGAGAACCTGCAGGTTCAAATCCAAAAAGGTTGCGTGTGTGTGTGTGTGTGTGTGTGTGTGTGTGTGTGTGTGTGTGTGTGTGTGTGTGTGTGTGTGTGTGTGTGTGTGTGTGTGTGTGTGTGTGTGTGTGTGTGTGTGTGTGTGTGTGTGTGTGTGGGATGGGCTTTACCATTTCCTGTCTGCAGCTGTGACTTCCTGTCTTAAGACGCCCAGTTTCCATCTGAGCAGCAAAACAAGCCTAAAACCAACCGATGCCCACCTCCGTCCTCCTCCTGCTGCTACTCATCCTCCATCTTTGTCTTGCTCCTCCTTCATCCTTCTCTCCTTCCTCCTCATCCTGCCACTTTTTCCTCCTCCTCCTCCTTCAAAGCCCATCATCCTCCCTCTCCTGCTGCTCCTGCAGCATCTTCTAGGCTCTGAAAACAAAAACAAAAATCTGCAGTTTAGCTTGAAGCAACAATGTTCATAAGGAGGAAACCCTTGTGGCAGACTGGTTCTGTTTGAGCCTTCGCTGCGGCAGTAATAAGTTCTGATTTACCATCGGGTCGGGTCAGGAGGTTAATGTGTTGTGTGGGGGGGGTGCGGTATTCCCTGGTTCCTGCTAATTAAAGCTTTTGTTCCCAACAGGAAATGAAACTTCCTGCAGTAAAGCTCTATGAGCCTAAAACTGTTTGGATCAGAACCAGAAGAACAAACCGTCTGACTCTGAGACAAACTTTGTGGCTAAAGTTATTTCTTTTGTGAATTGTTGCACAGCAGCTGGTTCTGGTTCTGAAGCTTCTCCATGCAACCAGAACCTGTGAGAAAAGAAAAGGGTCTCTCTGACTGATTAAAACCTGAAGCAGCTGCTGAAGCCTGTGGGAAGTAACGGTGCATTCTGGGTAACTGGGCGTGTCGTCTGTCTGAATGTGGTTTTCTCTGGAAGATCAGGTGTGTTCAGCAGGTGTCTGGTTTAACTGGTCTGGGACGACCCGGTTGAGCCTGTTGCTTCTTTTGGCTTCTCCATGACTCTGATGGTTTCCACTCAAGTTTTAATAAAACTTGACGGCGGGGCGACGGTGGCACAGGAGTTAAGTGCTCGCCTCGCAATCCGAAGGTTGCAGGTTCGAGACCCGCTCAGTCTGTCGCTGTCGTTGTGTCCTTGGGCAAGACACTTAACCCACCTTGCCTGCTGGTGGTGGTCGGAGGGACCGGTGGCGCCAGTGCTCGGCAGCCTCGCCTCTGTCAGTGCGCCCCAGGGCAGCTGTGGCTACATCGTAGCTCATCCCCGCCAGTGTGTGAATGGGTGAATGACTGGCTGTGTTGTAAAGCGCCTTGGGGGGTTCCAGGACTCTAGAAGGCGCTGTATCAAATACAGGCCATTTACCATTTAAAAGGACTTCCAAAAACATCTGATTTATCTGCGACAGCTGAGAGACGCCTGAGGTCCGCGATGCTCAGACACATCAGACACATGAGAGACACCCAAGAGATTCCTTTGAGACACTGGAAATACACCGAAGAGACAGCTGAGACATTTAGACACCTTGGAGACACCTGAGCGATACCTGGAACAGCAGTCGCTCAGGAGGTAGAGCAGGTTGTACAGTAATCAGAAGGTTGCCGGTTCGATCCCGGCTCCCACCAGAGAATGCTGTTGTTGTGTCCTTGGGCAAGACTCTTACCTGGATCGCCTGCTGGTGGTGGTCGGAGGGACCGGTGGCGCTTGTGTATGGCAGGCCTCGCCTCTGTCAGTGCGTCCCATAGGTCATCATCACCAGTTTGCGAATGGGTGGATGACTGATTGTGTTGTGAAACACCAAAAGGCCATTTACCTGACTCATCTGACATTCAGCTGTGCTGCATCTAACTGGTACGAAATATTTTGAAATGGATTAATTATTTGTTCCGCAAGGATCATGTATATATAATTTAAAAAAAGGAGTGGCCCAAAAACGGAGCCTTGTGGTACCCCACAGAGTAGATCAGTAGAACCTGATATGCTTTGGTTGATACAGACACTGAAACGGTTTCCTAAAGGGATAAAAGAAGAAACGGAGGGTGTTTGAGCTGCTCGTCTAATGGCCACTGCTCAGAAACATCCGGATTGTTCCACCCAGTAAGGAACCTTTTGAGTCGGCCCAAACCTTCCAGGTCTCAGAGTCTCGGGTCAGGCAGCAGAGGCTGAGAGGGGACAAAAGAGCAAACAGACAGATGTTATATAAGTTGTAGTCAACTCAATGAGAGCTGAATGGAGATGATGCACACACATTATCTAATTACACACACACACACACACACACACACACACACACACACACATACATACACACACACACACACACACACACACACACACACACACACACAATGTTGTCAAGCTCCATGGGGAGACATAACACTCACTCCCGTTTCCTGGCAACCCGATCCCTGACCCTCCCACCTCCCCCTCTCTGTGCGTCATCAATTAAAGAGGACAGAGCAGGGCGAGAGACACCGATGGAGAGAGGGAAAGAGAGAGAGACAGACAGGTTTCAGCTCAGGTCCTGTGGAAGGAAACAGTTGGAAACCTTTAGTTTCCCGCAGGACACACACACACACTACAGATGGTCAGGTGTGTGTGTGTGTGTGTGTGTGTGTGTGTGTCCTGGAAAGCATCACACACATGAGCCAACAACAGGTATCAGAGGAAGTTCAGCTCCCCGCGCTGATGTTTCCTCATGCTGACATCACACCTCACCTAGTTTTCAGTCTGCTGCTTTTAGTTTACACAAACAACTTCACACAAAACATTCTGTAAAACATTCAACCTCGGATCATCACAGACCGAAAGCTGCTGCTCCGTTGGCTCCATCCAGGTGGAACCAGAACCTGCCTGATCTGGGTTCTGTCTGTCTGCAGATGTCCAGCTACAAGAGAGCAACGCTGGAAGAGGAGGAGGGCTCGGATACTCCAGCTGAGGCGGCCTCATCTCCTGACAGAGTGGAGGTCAGTGAATGCTACACACACACACACACACACACACGCACGCACGCACGCACACACGCACACACACACACACACACACCAGGAGAGAGCTTGATCTGAGACGATTACAGTCCAGACAGAGTTCTGACCCTGGGGGGGTTTCAGTGTGGCCCCCGTTCAGAGAGGACAAGCAGGAGGTCTGGAGCTCAGCCTGCAGGTTCTGAGTGGTTCTGAGAACAAACAAGACCGCAGGTTTTACTTTCAGAACCAGCAGAATCTCTCAGACCCAAAAAAACATGATCACAAATTCAGAACTGAACTTCATCCGAGTTTCACTGAAACACTGATGGTCTGGAGGACGCTTCAGGTCTGGTCTGGACAATTTGGACACTTTTATGTGTCTCAGGTGGGCTTCAGGAAGGGGGGTGTGGACATCCTGGGCCGGCGGACTCAGCTGGAAGTTCTGCTCTCGGTCATGCTGCTGGCCGCCCTGCTGGCGCTGCTCGCCTGTCTGGTGGCTCTGGGGCTCGGATTCAGCTCAGGTAACCCTGCTTCTGCTCCGCTGTTCCTCGATTTGTCCCACCGTCCTCATTTCTTGTCTTACCTCCAACCTGTCAACACGTTTTTTTTTTCAGATAGTGGGCGTGGCCTGTGCCTGTCAGAGGCATGCGTCACTGTGGCGAGTCAGATCGTGGAGGCGATGGACCGCAGCGCAGACCCATGTCAGGACTTCCACCAGTTCGCCTGTGGGGGCTGGATGAGGAAGAACCCGCTGCCAGATGGACGCTCACGCTGGTCCACCTTCAACAGCATCTGGGAGCAGAACCAGGCTCTGCTCAAACACCTGCTGGGTAGGGAGGGGGGAGGAGCTGGAGGATAGGGTGAGGACCGCTTCTTCGGTTCTTACTGGTCTCGTTCTCCACAGAGAACGGAACGTTTAACGGCAGCAGCGAAGCCGAGAGGAAGACTCAGTCCTACTACCTGTCCTGCCTCAACACCCAAAGGATCGAAGACCTGGGAGCCCAGCCTCTCGTGGACCTCATCACCAAGGTAACGCCATCTCCGTAGCAACTACACTTCTACCACTCCCGGTCCCTTCAGTGTGAAAGGCTTCAAGAAATGTGTTCCTAAGATCCAAACATGCAGTCGGCTTCATCAGAACATGATCTCCGGCTCTCACTGGAGAGGTCCACAGCCGAGTGGGAGGCAGCTGGGATGAGGATCAGCCCCTCTGAACCTGAGACCATGGTCTTGAGTCAGAAAAGGGTAGAATGCCTTCTCCAGGCCAGGGACGAGGTCCTGCCCCAAGTGGAGGAGTTTAGGTATCTCGGGGTCTTGTTCACGAGTGAGGGAACGATGGAGCGTGAGAGCGGCCAAAATTCATTTCCTCCGCAGGGTGGCTGGGCTCTCCCTTAGAGATAGGATGAGAAACTCGGTCATCCGGGAGGGGCTTGGAGTAGACCGGCTGCTGGAGAGGAGCCAGTTGAGGTGGCTCAGGCATCTGGTTGGGACGCCTCCCTGGTGAAGATATCCAGACACGTCCAAGTAGGAGGAGACCTAAAGGTAGACCCAGGACACGGTGGAGGGACGATGTCTCTCACCTGGCCAGGGAACGCCTTGGGGTTCCCCCGGAGGAGCCGGCCCAAGTGGCTGTGGAGAGGGAAGTCTGGGCCTCTCGCCGTAGGCTGCTGCCCCCGCGACCCGACGACCGATAAGCGTCCGAAAATTGATGGACATTCAGAAATAACTTCTTTAAAAGTCAGAAGGAAACCAGAGTCCACCTGCTGGTCCAGCAGAACCCCCTTGTGGGGCCAGAGTTCTTAGTAGAGCCCCATTGTTATTTCACATGGTTCTGGTTCTGGACGGCTTTTCTTTAGCCTGGCCTGGTCCAGGTTGGTCTGGACTCTTGTGGAGGATTGTAGAACCCAGCTAATCCTGAAGCTGCTGGTTCCTGTGGAATCTGTGATGTTGGATTCGGGTTTTAAGATCTTTTCTGAACTTGTGGTTCATCTGCAGATTGGTGGCTGGAACATGACAGGTCCATGGGACAAGGACAACCTCATGGAGGTTCTGAAGATGGTGTCGGGTCTGTACAGAGCTCAGCCGTTCTTCAGTGTTGTAGTCGGTGCTGATCCCAAGAACTCCAATAGTAACATCATTCAGGTAATCCACAGAGCCCCGCCCCAGGTGGATCTGAGTCACCTGAGATGATCTGATATCTCCTCTGCAGGTGGACCAATCAGGACTCTTTCTGCCATCAAGGGACTATTACTTGAACAAGACGGCCAATGAGAAGGTGAGACTACATCATCCAGGTGTGTTCGTTTGAGACCGGGTGGATGAAATTATTCAAGTCTGGACTCTGATCTGCAGGTGCTGATGGCGTACCTGGACTACATG